ATCAGAAGACTGTCACCAACCTACCTCATGACATCAGAAGACTGTCACCAACCTACCTCATGACATCAGAAGACTGTCACCAACCTACCTCATGACATCAGAAGACTGTCACCAACCTACCCCATGACATCAGAAGACTGTCACCAACCTACCTCATGACATCAGAAGACTGTCACCAACCTACCTCATGACATCAGAAGACTGTCACCAACCTACCCCATGACATCAGAAGACTGTCACCAACCTACCTCATGACATCAGAAGATTGTCACCTACCTCATGACATCAGAAGACTGTCACCAACCTACCTCATGACATCAGAAGACTGTCACCAACCTACCTCATGACATCAGAAGACTGTCACCAACCTACCTCATGACATCAGAAGACTGTCACCAACCTACCACATGACATCAGAAGACTGTCGCCAACCTACCTCATGACATCAGAAGACTGTCACCTACCTCATGACATCAGAAGACTGTCACCTACCTACCTCATGACATCAGAAGACTGTCACCAACCTACCTCATGACATCAGAAGATTGTCACCTACCTACCTCATGACATCACAAGATTGTCACCTACCTCATGACATCATAAGACTGTCATCTACTTCATGATATCAGAAGACTGTCACCAACCTACCTCATGACATCACAAGATTGTCACCTACCTACCTCATGACATCACAAGATTGTCACCTACCTCATGACATCAGAAGATTGTCATTTACCTCATGACATCAGAAGATTGTCATTTACCTCATGACATCAGAAGATTGTCATTTACCTCATCACATTGGAAGATTATCATCTACCTCATGACATCAGAAGATTGTCACCAACCACATGACATCAGAAGATTGTCACCAACCTACCACATGACATCAGAAGACTGTTACTAACCTACCTCATGACATCAGAAGACTATTACTAACCTACCTCGTGACATCAGAAGATTGTCAACAACCTGATGACATCAGAAGACTTTTTTCTACCACATGACATCAGAAGACTGTTACCAACCTACCTCATGACATCAGAAGATTGTCACCAACCACATGACATCTGAAGATTGTCACCAACTTACCACAAGACAACAGAAGACTGCCATCTACCTCATGACAACAGAAGACTGTCACCAACCTACCTCATGACATCAGAAGACTGTCACCAACCTACCTCATGACATCAGAAGATTGTCAACAACCTGATGACATCAGAAGACTGTCATCTACCTCATGACATCAGAAGACTGTCACCAACCTACCTCATGACATCAGAAGGCTGTCACCAACCTACCTCATGACATCAGAAGACTGTCGTCTACCTCATGACATCAGAAGACTGTCACCAACCTACCTCATGACATCAGAACACTGTCACCAACCTACCTCATGACATCAGAAGACCGTCACCAACCTACCTCATGACATCAGAAGACTGTCACCAACCTACCTCATGACATCAGAAGACTGTCACCAACCTACCTCAAGACATCAGAAGATTGTCACCAACCTACCTCATGACATCAGAAGACTGTCACCAACCTACCTCATGACATCAGAAGACGTACACCAACCTACCGCATGACATCAGAAGACTGTCACCAACCTACCTCATGACATCAGAAGACTGTCGCCAACCTACCTCATGACATCAGAAGACTGTCACCAACCTACCTCATGACATCAGAAGACTGTCACCTACCTCATGACATCAGAAGACTGTCACCAACCTACCTCATGACATCAGAAGACTGTCACCAACCTACCTCATGACATCAGAAGACTGTCACCAACCTACCTCATGACATCAGAAGACTGTCACCAACCTACCTCATGACATCAGAAGACTGTCACCTACCTCATGACATCAGAAGACTGTCACCAACCTACCTCATGACATCAGAAGACTGTCACCAACCTACTTCATGACATCAGAAGACTGTCACCAACCTACCTCATGACATCAGAAGACTGTCACCAACCTACCTCATGACATCAGAAGACTGTCACCAACCTACCCCATGACATCAGAAGACTGTCACCAACCTACCTCATGACATCAGAAGACTGTCACCAACCTACCTCATGACATCAGAAGACTGTCACCAACCTACCCCATGACATCAGAAGACTGTCACCAACCTACCCCATGACATCAGAAGACTGTCACCAACCTACCTCATGACATCAGAAGACTGTCACCAACCTACCTCATGACATCAGAAGACTGTCACCAACCTACCCCATGACATCAGAAGACTGTCACCAACCTACCTCATGACATCAGAAGACTGTCACCAACCTACCTCATGACATCAGAAGACTGTCACCAACCTACCACATGACATCAGAAGATTGTCACCAACCTCATGACATCAGAAGACTGTCATCTACCTCATGACATCAGAAGACTGTCACCAACCTACCTCATGACATCAGAAGACTGTCACCAACCTACCTCATGACATCAGAATATTGTCACTAACCTCATGACATCAGAAGACTGTCATCTACCTCATGACATCAGAAGACTGTCACCAACCTACCTCATGACATCAGAAGACTGTCACCTACCTCATGACATCAGAAGACTGTCACCAACCTACCTCATGACATCAGAAGACTGTCACCTCATGACATCACAAGATTGTCACCTCATGACATCACAAGATTGTAACCTACCATATGTCACCAGAAGATTGTCACCTACCATATGTCACCAGAAGATTGTCACCTACCTCATGACATCAGAAGATTGTCATCTACCTTATGACATCAGAAGACAGACCTACACTACAGAAACTTATGTAAACTTGTATAAAATTGAAATAGATACATTTTCTGGTCCCAAATTATAAGCAATACTGATTTACATAAGCTGGTATTTTTTTTATAAACAAAAAAAAATTTAATAGTAAACTATTATTTTAAAAAATCAAAATTTTGATAAATGCTTTTAAGTTTGGAACCAGAAAAAATAAATAAATATTTCATATAAAACTTTAAAGAAAAGTTAGACATCAATTTGTCTACTTTTCTAGTCTTGTTTTCATGTTTTTAATTTGTAAAAAGTTCGGATGGGGGGTTGCGGGTGGGGCGACCCCCCCCCCATACTGGTGGGGGATTGCGGGTGGGGCGACCCCCCCCCCCAAGTCGGGTGGGGGGTTGCGGGTGGGGCGGCGACCCCCCCCCCCAAGTCGGGTGGGGGGTTGCGGGTGGGGCGACCCCCCCCATACTGGTGGGGGGTTGCGGGTGGGGCGGCGACCCCCCCCCACCCCAAGTCGGGTGGGGGGTTGCGGGTGGGGCGGCGACCCCCCCCCCCAAGTCGGGTGGGGGGTTGCGGGTGGGGCGGCGACCCCCCCCCCAAGTCGGGTGTGGGGTTGCGGGTGGGGCGGCGACCCCCCCCCAAGTCGGGTGGGGGGTTGCGGGTGGGGCGGCGACCCCCCCCCAAGTCGGGTGGGGGTTGCGGGTGGGGCGGCGACCCCCCCCCAAGTCGGGTGTGGGGTTGCGGGTGTGGCGGCGACCCCCCCCCCCCAAGTCGGGTGTGGGGTTGCGGGTGTGGCGGCGACCCCCCCCCCCCCAAGTCGGGTGGGGGGTTGCGGGTGGGGCGGCGACCCCCCCCCCAAGTCGGGTGGGGGGTTGCGGGTGGGGCGGCGACCCCCCCCCCCCAAGTCGGGTGGGGGGTTGCGGGTGGGGCGGCGACCCCCCCCCCCCCCCAAGTCGGGTGGGGGGTTGCGGGTGGGGCGGCGACCCCCCCCCCAAGTCGGGTGGGGGGTTGCGGGTGGGGCGGCGACCCCCCCCCCCCCAAGTCGGGTGGGGGGTTGCGGGTGGGGCGGCGACCCCCCCCCCAAGTCGGGTGGGGGGTTGCGTGTGGGGCGACTCCCCCCCCAAGTCGGGTGGGGGGTTGCGGGTGTGGCGGCGACCCCCCCCCCAAGTCGGGTGGGGGGTTGCGGGTGGGGCGGCGACCCCCCCCCCCCCCAAGTCGGGTGGGGGGTTGCGGGTGGGGCGGCGAACCCCCCCCCCCCAAGTCGGCTGGGGGGTTGCGGGTGGGGCGGCGACCCCCCCCCCCCCCCAAGTCGGCTGGGGGGTTGCGGGTGGGGCGGCGACCCCCCCCCCCCCAAGTCGGGTGGGGGGTTGCGGGTGGGGCGGCGACCCCCCCCCCCCCCCCCCCAAGTCGGGTGGGGGGTTGCGGGTGGGGCGGCGACCCCCCCCCCCCAAGTCGGGTGGGGGGGTTGCTGGTGGGGCGGCGACCCCCCTCCAAGTCGGGTGGGGCGGCGACCCCCCCCCCCCAAGTCGGGTGTGGGGTTGCGGGTGGGGCGGCGACCCCCCCAAGTCGGGTGTGGGGTTGCGGGTGGGGCGGCGACCCCCCCCCCCAAGTCGGGTGGGGGGTTGCGGGTGGGGCGGCGACCCCCCCCCCCAAGTCGGGTGGGGGGTTGCGGGTGGGGCGGCGACCCCCCCCCCCAAGTCGGGTGGGGGGTTGCGGGTGGGGCGGCGACCCCCCCCCCCAAGTCGGGTGGGGGGTTGCGGGTGGGGCGGCGACCCCCCCCCCCAAGTCGGGTGGGGGGTTGCGGGTGGGGCGACCCCCCCCCCCAAGTCGGGTGGGGGGTTGCGGGTGGGGCGGCGACCCCCCCCCAAGTCGGGTGGGGGGTTGCGGGTGGGGCGGCGACCCCCCCCCAAGTCGGGTGGGGGGTTCCGCCCCCCCCCCCAAGTCGGGTGGGGTGGCGACCCCCCCCCCAAGTCGGGTGGGGGGTTGCGGGTGGGGGGGGTTGCGGGTGGGGCGACCCCCCCAAGTCGGGTGGGGGGTTGCGGGTGGGGTGACCCCCCCCCAGTCGGGTGGGGACTCATACTTCCCCCACAGTGTGGCCTTTGATCAGTTTGAGAGAGTCGACTTATAAATTGGTACAGTTTTGGATATTTGTTGAGTATGGAGGAATGCTGGTACTAGCTGATTCAACTCTTTAGCAGCAAGATAAAAAAAGCAAGTCTCCAGGTTTTTGTTAGAAGAGGAATATTTAATTATGTAAACAAATTACATTGAACATTGCTAATCATCTTATTTGCTAATCTTCTAATTATTTATGTATTTAATAGTATTTAAACAGTGGCAACCTTATCACAAAATAAACTGTGTTGATCACCCTTAGCATCATTTAAAAAGTTAGACTAGTGAAAAAATTCTGGGGGTATGTTTACACAGTAACAAAAACCATTGCATTATAAAAAAATTTGAAATATATTTGATATACAAGAAAGATAAATTATAAAATTGATACATAAACTCTGGACTAAAGTTTTTTTTTCAAATTTAAATTTCTTATAATTCACAATGAGAAATTTGATGCATGATTCTTTCAACATTCCAGTTTGGGTACTCAAACACTTTCATTATATCAATAATCACTCACTTTATCCCAGTCATTGATTCCATTAGCAACTCTAATTAATGACATTTGTAACTACACATAATCTTTAAATATAAATAGCCCAATCAAGTTTTAACTGTTGTAATACAATTTTCAGTCACTATGTATCTAGAATCTTTGAAATCTGTAAGCTCTAAATTGAAAAATACCAACTTATAGCTACAAAACTGCCTTAATAAAATGTACACACTACAAATCTAATGCTATGATATAACTGACACATTCATTAGTGTGTTATACCAGTCCAAATAATAACAAACAACAGTTGATAACTTACAATAAACCATTGATAATTAATATTTACAATTAGAAAACAAAAAATTTAAACCACAGTACATACTGAGTATGAGATCCAAGTAAAAAATTTAAGTCTGCATGTTGTTTAGCTTTTGTCAGATACATGCATCTATTCAGAGTTCTAATTTATTTCTATTAGTAAAATCTTACTAGATTTTCATTTCAATTTATGATCTGTTTCTCTAACAGCTGGGTACAAATTATATTTTAAAATAATAAATGATCTTTATATTAGCTTGGACTCGCATTCAATTTATTTTCTAATCTATAGCCACCATCAATCAACTGATGACTGTGTTATGTCAACAGACATTTGAGAGTATCATTGAGGCTGTGAATCAGGGGGCTGTTGATGCTGTAGAAGAAACAAAATCAATGTTTAGAAGTTTGTTTGATTACCATCAGCTTGTTTAAACTGTACTAGTGTTTGAGGAGAGTTACCTGCTCTCAGACTTGTCCCATTTAGTGAGCATGTCCTCCAAGATCTGCTGGACTCCCAGGTTTTTGAGCACAACTTTGCGCTGGTAGGCACCTGCATGGGGGAAACAAGGAGACTCTAATCAGGGCTCATGGTCTGCTCTTGGCCAGGAAAGGACCAGTTTTAAACTCTTGGTTAGCTTTAATACTATTATGTACTCTAGTTTGATTAAGCAACAATTTTAATGGTAATTTTCTGCTATCAAATAGGTTTAAAAGTAAATGTTAAATCCAACTTCAAAAAAGCTACGAGCTTTTTTTATCAAAGTAAAAATATAGCTAAAATATTCAACAATCTCACGATTTGAACATGGTATGAATCCATTAGAAAAGAAAAAAACAAAATAACCAAAGAGAACAATTTCTCATTATAAGAAGTAAAGCAGCTCTACTTCATCTGCCCTTAAAACAAATTGAGTGGAAAAACATAATAGGAAACTTTAAAAAAAAAACTGTCTTTAAATATCTTACCATCTTCTGAGGTATCAATGAGGTTGGAGATAAACTGAATGACAGGAAGTTGTAAACTTAAACACTGATGTTGCTCAGGACAAGACTTGCTATCCTGGAAATAGGCAATAGTAAACAATCTTAGTCACACTTAAATCTTTACCTTCATTTTGTCATGAGTTGTTTCTTAAAAATGAATGAAATGGATCATTATTTAAGTTGCTGAATGGTGACCATCAGACAATATGTGGCTTCAAAATCACTCATATATTTCTGACATTTTTATAACATCATACATTTACAATATAAAATACATTGCAGTTTGCAAGAAATTTATCTGATTAGCATAAAATTAATATAAAATATTGCAATAAATTAGATACTTAATTATTACACATTAAAAATATTGTAGTTTACCAGATATTTGATAACATGTTTTAAGTCCTCTGTTTTTCCAATAATATGTGCTTTGCATGAAGGACCATCTGCCATGTTACTCAATGCACAAAGAGCCTAAAAAATGGTTTTAAAAAATTATAAAACAACAAACTTTTAAGGCCAGTAATAAAACAACTATTGATATCTAACTTCTAATGCCAGTAACAAAACAAGTATTGCCAGTAAGAAAACAAGCACTGATAACAAAAGATGATCTTGTGTACCTGCTCCAGGACATAAACAGGCAGTGTTGGGTTTCTTATTGTCCTAAAGACGGCATCAATGACTTCACTCCCCAGGGCCTTCACCATTCTGTCAATTATCTAAAAATAAATAACGCTCACATTTCATTCAAAATACTCTTAGCATTATGCTCTCATTAAATCCACACATCAAATTATGTCAAAAAGTAGCATCAAGAAAAAGTAATCAACTGAATCTTACTGTCTTGTCACCATTTCTACGTTCATTACGAGCCCTCTGAGATGTGCTGTCCCTTTCTTCTCCATCATGGACCTAGAACATAAGAATTCTCTTAGCATTTTTTCCAGAATTTATAACGTTTTAAAAGAACAAAGAAGAATGACTACACTCTTTATGTATGTTAAAAGACTCACATTAAAAAATAACAGTTACATTAAGTTAATGACTAAACTGACATTAAAAAATAACAGTTACTCAAAGTTAATGACTAAACTGACATTAAAAAATAACAGTTACATTAAGTTAATGACTAAACTGAAAACATAATGTAATAGAAAGAATGATGACCCACTGTAGTTAAAAGATTACGAACAACTGCCAAAGCTTTCTGTCTGATGATCATCACTGGATCCTCAATCCTCTTGATGATACACTCTGTGCTCATGGTTTCAATCACTCTAGACCGCAAGTTTTCAGTTGAGCAATAAGTCAATGACTGGAGAGGAAAAATTGGTTGGGGCTTGATTAATGCTATGGAAAGGTCTATAAAATTATTTTGTTCAAGTCCTATAATAATTTTTATTTCACTTAAAGATTTGACATTTTTAAAAGTAGTTGACTTTAGGTTAAAAAAAAGGTTGGAATTCACTTAGAAGATGCAGTAAATCAACAAAACATTCACAGCAACTTAGCTACTACTTACAGGTCTAATTAGACATTCTTAATGATAGCACTAGCCAAGGTTGTTGGTCAATAGAAGAGCAGCTTACCATAATAGCCCAAATAGCATTGAGTCTAATTGTGTTATCTGGGCTATGGCAGTATTCACTAAGGAGATCCACTGCAGCACCTTGTAGAAGTAGCTAGTTGAAAAAGAAACGTTCATAAATATATAAAATATCTCACATGCATTCAGTTAGAATTGTAAAACAGAAATTATCTCAACTGAGATGAACAGGGAGTAATTTAAAACAAACTTTTTAATTAAAATAACAAATTTATAGAAATAAATTTGTATTCATAAGTTAATACATTTCAAGTAATATTTTATAAAATGTGCTGGCAATGTTTCAATTTTTAAACAAGAATCTAGAAGAATCTGTCACTAGGTATGATGATGCTTAATTAATAATTTATTTTATCTGTTTTCTTTTGTACAACTTTGATCCCTGTTCAGTAATGAGTTATCAGATATCCAGAAATAAACTAAATATACAATCTGAAAATAACAGCATGCCACCTAATTTTGTGTGAAGTAAGACATGATACCTGTGTGTACATATATTTTTAACAGAACTGTCTATCAATCATTAATTCTTTAAATGCAGGATAAAGCAAATTTGTTCCTTGAATATTAAAAACCCACTTTTGATTCTTCATTCAACGTTCAAGTTTACAGTCATATCTGTCATATTTAGAACATGCTGAAACTTTAATATGAGAATAAAATCTACTGTGATTTTGTAAATTGGGACAGTGCCAGAGTATAAATATATAGATGACTCATTAGATATGTTCATTTTACAAAGCACATGATGCTAATATGAGATGAAAGCTAGCATTAACTCAAGCACACATCAATCTTGTTTAGTACGGAAATAAAATCAAACACTACATTTAAATCACCACAAGCCAATTTCTAATCAAGAATTCACTATTAAGTAAAGCTTATTTTTAAAAAGCAATATGCAAACATCACTAATAGCTTTAGAGAAACAAAAGCGTACATAGAAAGTCCACACATTGTAACAAAATTAGTAAGACATAGTGGTTGTTCTTTACTTCTCTTTTTACATTTAAGTCAATTTTTATTTTCTCATATAAAGAGCATAGAGGAAGTATTGCAATCATAATGAGTAATTAGCAGATATTTTGACACATTTCAGTTTCACACCTCCCTACTTTTTTTTATCAATGAAAGAAAGAAACCATTGTAACAGGTAAATTATTTCAAATGTTACAAATTTTAAAAATTAGAGATATGAAAATAAATATTTCTAAAACAAAAACCTAATCGCAAGAAATCTTATAAATAAAAAGTTAGCCAAAACACTCTAGAAACCTACTAATCTATTACACAAATATTCAAACAAAAACCTCTTAGGTTATTAATTGTGTTGAAAAAAGAAAGATCATACAGTGACAACATAAAAAATGAAAGCCTGTTGAGCAGATGTCCACCTTATGTTTACACTAGGCATAACGTGACTTAAAGTACACTGCACCATCTTAGTTTTATGGAATAAACATAGCCTTTTCGACACAATATTACTCCAGTAAATTGTTAATATTTTTTCAGAAAATAGCAGACCAATAATATGTTTTTTTATACAATACTAAAACTGAAAATATTGAAATTAAAAATGATGAAGCCTTTAAAATCTGTTGGTTTAAAATTTTATATTTTTGTGAGAGATAAAGTAGAAGATAGTTTTCTGCCCAACCCTATCAAGCTATCATTTGAAAAGAAAAGAGCTACATACCCGCCACCCATCCATGTCATCCCATCGTCTTTCTGGTGTAAGCTGAATGCAAAGTGTGAGAATAATGATAAAGCCAAGCAAACTAAGAAAGTAGCATAATTAGTGCGCCACTGCACTTGTTAGATCTTTTCTAATGCTACTAAATAAAAAGAAAAGTAGAAGTTTATTGGAAAAAATCTATTGAATGTTTATTTATCAGCACACTATGAAATCATTAATTAATCATTTGCTATCTACTTACAAATCTTGTTCAAAAGTGTTTTTTTTAGACAGACAAAAATACAAAATATGTAAGGTTGTATCCAAGTAAACAAGAATAGAGGTGCTTAATGCATGACTTGAACTATACTTTAGTGCTGATGTATTTATAGAAATATAGCATTAAAAGTAGCACAATTATTGTTCAATAAAATTTAATGAATAAACACAACCTGATCAATTACACATGCATTAATTATGCAGTAAGGGGAAAAAATTCAACAGTTGAAAATTATATATATTGAACTATCTTTTATTTAAAAAATATAATTATTGTCTGTTTATTTTGTCTCAAACATGAATATGTTAAAGCTCAAAATACATATCACAGAGTTTTTAAAAAATGTAATTAAATTAGTTTGAAAATAATTACAAAAAAGTTATTTGTTTTTTATATTAATGTTTTTTAATCCACAAGAAAATAATTTGAAACTCAAATTGTAAAACAAACTTCATCTTATGAATACATATAAACAATTGTATAGAAATGTATGGAAATACTGTCAACAGCTGTAAGCACATGCTTATTTTAATGCCATATAAAAAAAGTAGTTCAGCAAAAATATTAAGGTGCAAAAGTCATAGATTTTTTAGTTTCACTGCTCAAGATACTTTTAACTATTCATAGACTAGAATTTAATAATACAATCCCTGACTCTTCTTTAGTATTGAAATAAAGTTAATCCCATTGACATTTCATTAGTTAAAGAATACATTTGTAAAAAATTATGCAAATCATTTTACAAATTTTATGCTTCCAAAAGTAGTAGTAATAGAACTGAATGTGTGTGGGACTCTTAATTCTATAATTGAAATAAAAACAAAGATGAAGCCATCAAAGTATGCTAGGATGGTACACCTCATAAAACTTTTAGTTAAGTAATTAGTTTGTAACTTAAATAATGCCTAATTATAACTGTGGAGATGGTTTAGGATTAGTAATAAGTGTTGAGTAGGAATTGCATCAAATGGTTGAAATGTAAAATTAATTAGGAAGGTTGATGAAACTAACAACATTCAAACCAGCAATCTAAGAGTCATGTATATTTTTATCATTTCTGGCACTGAACTGGTGTGTACCCCAGTATCAAGCTTTTCTTGTACTCTATTAAGCTAAATAGTCTAAAAAAGGTTCAGTAGAAAAAGAAATTTCAACTAGAATTTATAATATGTCTGTGTTATTAACATATGGAATAAATTCAAATTCAAACTGTAAAATGTATTACTGTAAAGTGAAAAATGATTTATCAGCATAATCAAATGTGTATGGATTTTTGTAGAAAATACCTCTTTGCTGGGGCTAAACTCCAAAACCAGGTTACATAGGCAGGTCATGGCAAGCACCATAATTTCATGGTTGGTTGACTGCAACATCTGGAACAATTAGGAGATAGTTGTAGAGGTCATGAAAATATTTGTGTGCAAACATCGACTTGTTTTTAGTCGAAGTAGGCAGCAAGTACTTATCGGCTAAACAGAATACTTTACTTAAAAAATAGCCTGGGCAGCTCCAGGATTCACTGATTTTCCTTGTCAAGTAATAATCCAAACAGCTGATAACAATACTGAAATGACAAACAAACCATGACTATGAAAATACCTACAGTAAGTAATGGTTTCCAAACAGCATTGTCATGCAGTACAGTTCTAATCTGATGGACTGAACGAGTCAGAGACTGGAGACATCTCAAACTTGCAGCTACTTCAGCTTGGTTAGAGCTGCCCATGCATGTCATTATTTGCTCTATCATCCCCTCTCTTTTAATCACCTAAATAGACAGAACTTTAGGTTAAATTACATTTTAATAAGGTTATACAAATTAACAGTTTTAATTAAAACATAATAGAACTGTATCTGAAAAATAACTATTCAAGTTATTTTCAAACAATGTGATCTAGAGAAAGTTCTTATGAAAATGTAAAACAAAACACAACATTAGTTTTCATCAAATAGTGAGAAAAAACTAGTGGCTATGAAATTAAAAAAAAAATGAACAGTGAAAATTATGAAAAAAAAAAAACAATTACAAAAATATCCAGTGTTGTAACATGTATTAAATACCTTATCTCTAATTTCTTCATCATTGGCACTAATAGCAGCAAATGCTAAAAATGCAGCTCTCCTCATTTCACTGCCCCAGTCCACCTCCTAAAAATAAATTTTGATTTTAAAAAATCAAATTCACCTAATATTTTAAAAATCTAAATACAATTTAATGTTTATCTTGCGTCACAGGGGTAGGATCAACCAAAGTTTAACAATGTATTTTTTTATTTTATTCAATCAATAATCAATAAATTCAGAGTTTTCACTTTTGTTTATGGTGATTTATTGCTTCAGAAATGCCATAGTGTAGAGTAAAAGCCAAACCATTTTTAAATTGAAGTAAATTTATAATATAAAAAATGGAAAAAAATATAAAATATAAACATTTTCATTCAGAAATAAAGTTCAAGTGAAATAATGTTTAAACCTTTTTGTCTACGGAAGAAATCTTTTTCACATCTTTGTAATGAAGGTAGTTAGAAAGAGTGCTAATCAGATGGTCTGTATTGCTAGCTATCATCTGCAGATCTGGATCCACCTCCACAAGATATGCTAGAGTCTCTGCACCTTTTACATTCTCCTCTAAAGGTCTGTCCCTTTTACACATTCGCACTAGAGTTCCTAGAGTCTATGAAAGAATTTATCAGTGTTGTACTCAATATGAGAAGCTACTGTTAATAGGTATAAACCTTTATGTAGATTTTAGTATTAATCATACAAAGATTAAGTATTTAAATACAAATTAATGAAATGTGAGTAAAACACATTATGAATGTTTCAACAATTTCCATTCAAATGTTAGTAGTTAACAATCAAAACTTCTGGTATGACCGAGATAAGAACTATCATTAATTACATTATCAGCAAGCTAATAGAGACAATATGCACTATCTAAAAAAGTATTAACAGTATTTTTAAATTACTTTACAAAGACATTTATAAAGCTAAATATAGAGAAATTATAGAAGGAATGGCTCTTTAGAAAATAACAGTGAAAACTGGTCTATATACACCAATTATCATAGCATTTGGTGAAGCTATACAGACTGAGGACTTACTGTAATTAACCTCCATATTTATCAAGATTTATTGCTATTAATCTATTTTCAGATGTACTGTGCTAAATAAATATCTAATTGTAATTATTTTTTAACAAATGGTACACACCTTCCTGCTAATGACACAGTCTGTTGCTTCTATTGCACCACCCCTGTGGAGGTAAGTCAGGACTTTGGCAGATGCCAGCTGCATTTCAGATGGCTTGTCTCTACCCATCAAATCCACAAACACCTCAACTAAATTAGGAACTAAAAAAAAAGGTATATAATTGAAATCACAACAGTCTAAAAACTGGCCACTCTATTGTATAAAACATGGAATGCTTGTCAGATAAAAGAGACAGCTGAGGGAAGAAAAAAACTCTACCTGCAACTACAGCTGTACACACAGCAGTGTTTTTGTAGCACATGTTAGCAAAACATCTTAGTGTGGGCATCTGCACTTTGTAGAATTCTGATGTAAGCAATGGAGCAAAAATCCCTAATGTATTACTCTCTAGCAGATACTCTTGATGATCTTTGTTCTGTTTGGATATAAAAAAACATCATTCTAACTTTAGTGATGTTTAAAAAAAGTTTAGAACTTTACTTACAGAAAATTCTGGAATTTTTTTTTTATAAAATCATAATGAATATTAAGTATGGTTTTAGTAAAGCCTTAACTTTCAGGCTTATTTTTTTCCTTCAACTCCAGCACCTAATTTTCTATGTTCAGGTTTGTCGTTGTGTGATGCAAGTAGTGATATATGGAGCTGTGTTAGCTATATCAAGAATGATAAGCAGCGAGTAAAATCTAGTTTTAAATACCATGAATAAATAGCTCAGTAAGGGCCATCTCCCTTTATTTTTTATAAGTACTTTCTACTAGTAGTGTATTTGGACACTAAATAAGCAGCAGATTTATTGAAAGGACTGTTTGTTTCACTTCTATCACTTCAACCAGGGTTAAGACTATTATCATAAGCAACAAGCAACTATTAAATAAAAAAACGCCATTTTAAGTTGATTAAAATCATAATTACCAAACAACACTTCTCAATGATTGTAGTAATGCATTCTTGACACACAACAGAACAATTGATTAAGCTCAGTATATGTGGAATGTATGTACTACCAGATTTATTTTCCTGCAAGAAAAAGTAAAGAAAAATTAACAATTTGACAGTGTTACAGTAGTCGAAATGAAACAAATACTTTTTAAACTAAAATGTACTTCAACATTCTAAACTAATATTATAAAATGTAACATGGCAAATAAAAATGTTGAGAGCAGTTAAATAGGAAATGAACTTGCCTCATACAAACATGAAACTGATTCTATGTTCACGAGGAATATAGACCTCAAACATCTCAACACAGCTTCTGTATAACGTTGGTTTAGATTTGTCAAAGCTATGGTAGCAAAAAACAAGAAATATTATGCACATAGATACAAATTTAAAAATTGTGGTGAAATTTCTATAAATTATTTATAAGTGAAAATTGGTAACAGAAAGTTTGGAGTATTAAAGACTTCAGAGGAAAAAGAAAATTAAAAGAGTAAGAATTTAAAATCTCAAATAAATAAAGAAAATTATACTTTCAAGTCTATGTAAACAAGAATAAATTCTTATGATTTGAATAAAATTTTCTTTTAAATAACTCACCCTTAAGTAACACTGGAACTGTTTTTTCCTGAACTAGTGTGTTAATAATATCAGCATTCCCTTTAGATAAACTTCCTAAGACTATGGCTGATTCAGTACGTAAATCAACATTGATAGTTTCATCTGCTATCCACTGTAATAATCTGGAAATACAATAGTTCAAGTTCAGTAAGATTAATATTAATTATAAGTCATCTTTTAAAAAAAAATGTTCATTTAAAAAAGTACTTGTTAATTAAAGTCATGAAATTCCTGATTGAAAATTGTATAGGTTGACTACTTACCTGGGAACTATTCCACATTGGATGCTTAACATCTTTTCCCTGTCACTTCCTATCACATCATTTTTTACTGCTCTGTTTATACAAAATGTGAACATAAACCTACATTTAATGAACTGCAGTTTTTTTTTTATAAAATACATTTTATTTATTTTTAAGCCTTCCTTATACTGTAAATACACAGTGATATGCCTGTTTTGATTTTAAAGATAGAAATATTTGTTTTAACTCATTTAATTTTATAAAATTACAGTTATTTGATAATGATAGTGATATTCTTAATTCATAGTTTATTATGAGCTTACCATATAACAAACAAAAACAATTTACAAATCCTTTTAAAATGTTTTTAATCTATTGATCAACTTACATTATAGCATCTAACCATTCTGGTAATTGGGCATCTTTCAATAAGGTTGCAATACTGGAGGTAATATATGTGGGATTCGCATCCATATCAACATCCTAAATATAACAAAATTTGACATTTGATTTTAGGCAAAAGTATGTCAATAACAATTCTGAAAAATTTACCACATATTTGAATTTTTTTTTATTACCCTTACAAAATATTAGAAGGATTCTTATTTCTTTTAAGGGTCTTTTTAAAATAAAAAATAGGGTATGTAAATCTAATTCAAATAAATAAATATATTTACATTATAAATTATTTAGTTTAATTTTAACACATTAGGTAACATTTCATTTGTTTTATTGTCTGTGGGTCAGTTCTTAAATTGTTACATTTCAGTAGGTATTCAATAAAATATAGATAACATAGTGTTGATAACCCATGCTTTGATTTTTAGTGACTCATTATTATACATTTAAAGAAAATCATTTTTTATTACAACTTGTAAACGCTTGTTATTAAAACATTTTTTATTACTTTTTTTTAAACTAAATTATTTCAGTCCCTAAATCAGGTTGGGTGGTAAATTTTATCTTTTGTTAATTTATAAAGGATATACTTTGCTGTGGAATAAGTTAAAATAGGAAATAATGTAAAATTTAGTTAGACAGCCAACAACTTTTTAATCATCATAGTTATATTACTTACATAGGTGTTAAGAATGCAAGTAAGAAAAACTCACCGCGATCACAAGTGATGTTTGACTTTTCATTTATTTTTTAACTAAAACAGGCAGACAAAGTCTATTCAGTCTACAAAAACTACTGCTACTACTGGACTAGCTTACTCTATATGTTAATATAGTGAATTTAATTAGGCCTAGGCCTAATATAAATAATAGGCCTATTTAATTTTTTGTTAAATTAGGCTAATTGGCTAATCTCTATATAATACTATTTGTAATAGGCTAATTTAATTAGAATCGGAAAAAAAAACTTTTTCATAATAGGCCTTTTTATAAATGATTAATAAACTATAGGCTTACAAACATTAACATAGGCCTAATTAATGTATTTGATGTCACTGGCTCAATCACACATTACTGACTCATAAGAGAGCCCCAGGGCCACAGGTAATGATTCTAATGAAATCTAAAGTTAAAGTCATGATCATGGTCCATGGAGACAAGAATAGTTCCATCTGTGACACTGCCAACTTAATACTTATAAATAGACTTAGAATCTACTTAAAACTTAACAAAAATGCTTATTCTAGACTTGGTAAAATCACGATATAGCGTTGGTTATTATTCCGGAACTGTACAGCAGTAAAAAACAGTAAAACCATGGCGTAGTCTGTCGAGCCATTCCGGAAACCACCGGAAATACCGTAAACCATCATTTATTTGCCGCCATATTATTTTTAATACATAATGTTTAAAAATGTGCAAGGATTGATTTTAGTTGCATTTTAAATACTGTTTTGCTAATTATTTTGTATTTCTAATTATATTAAGTGTATGTGCTAATTATTGCTGCTACTAAACATTATTCTAGTTATTCTTACTACTTTTAACTTTAGTTAATCTAATCGTCTTATTTACTAACAGAACTAGAGCTGGTTGTCGCAAATCTTCTGCAGGTTTTTTCTGTTTCTTAAAAAAAAAAACATTAATTACTACACTCGAGTTTATTAATAATGTTTAGATTTTCTATCTGTTATTAATTTTCTGTCAGTTTAATTTAAACTGTAAATTAAGTTAAAACATTAATTTAATGCACTTGACTTTATTTTTATTTCACCGGTCAAATAAACTATGGTTTACAGTAACGAATGTTACCGAAACTCAACGAACATTACCCAATAATTTCCGACGCTATATCGTGATTTTACCCTAGACTTAGATCTAGACTTTTTTAAACCATCGAATGCTAAACTAAAAGAAAACAGGCCTACATCACACTTTTCATTTATTTATGATTGAACATTGGCTAAGAACAACATTGTTTGTTGTAGAATGTTGATTCTAGTCTTAGTCTTGTCACAGTACTTGTGATTTCCAGATCCAGAAACTCTGACTCTGAGATACTCAGCAGTGATACTGATTATATCATTATGCTGAGTAGTATGGCCTAGATCTAGACAATATAAGATCTATACCGTATATATTAATAGGTAAATACGTGATTTAAAGTTGTTTTACGCAGATAAGCGACAGTGGTAGACTAAATTTTAGCAGAATATATACTATACACACACATATTCATGATATTGGACAAAATGAAAATAACAAAGAAGAAATGTTATTACCATAATTCACATTGCCAGATAAATGTTTTTAAAAATTCGCAAATTACGTTACGGTGTACACAATCCACAAAACTATTTTGGCCAAACACGATTTTAAGAAAAGAAGTATTAACTCTTTGTTTCGAATTTTTGTTTATGTGTAATGTTGCCTTTCCTTGTTTCTACTTTAAGAAGACAGCGACCCATTCCGGCGGCTTGGGTGCGCCCAGGGGCGAAACTACAGTGCCGCCAGACACCGCAATGCGGGGGGGTAGGGGGGGGGGAGAGTCGGGGGGGGGGGGGGGGGGCACGCCATTTAGGGACCCACAGCTGACCATAATAAAAAATTTTATTGTTAAAAAAATGTTCTTGCATTTTTTACTTGATGGTTGTTTTGTAAAAAGATTACCGTAGCTGCGGTTGGATTATCTTTGTTCTATGGACACCATCCCACGCTCTTATCTATTCTTTTTCCCTTTGTTTTTAAACCAATGTGAAAGCCAAGTCTTTCTCCTACGATTAAACTTATCAAAGATAAGCGAACTTTCAAACCACTTCCATGACTTATTTCCCTTTTTAAAATAGTCAAATAGGGGTGATCATAAGCTCCTTTTAATAGATTTGTACTAAACAAATTAAAAAACAATTACTTCTCTTAATTTTTATTTTTTATAAAGTACTTACTAAAGAAAAATATTGTATAAAAAGGAAATGTATTAAATTAATATATTTTAAAAATTAATAATAAAATATAACACGAGACCTCATTACTTATACAAAGCTTTCATTTTTTTATATTCTTTTGACCAACTAATTAGTAAGAGGTATTCTAGCAGAAATAATATTAAAATGATTTTCAGAAAACACACTAATGCACTTACACACATGACATAATGTTATAATTTGTTTTAATTGAAAAAAAAAACCACCTTTTCAAATCCCGAACAGGCCAGAAATGAGTATCCTATGTTCGTACTTTGTATATGTATATGTATATGTATATGTATATGTATATGTATATGTATATGTATATGTATATGTATATGTATATGTATATGTATATGTATATGTATATGTATATGTATATGTATATGTATATGTATATGTATATGTATATGTATATGTATATGTATATGTATATGTATATGTATATGTATATGTATATGTATATGTATATGTATATGTATATGTATATGTATATGTATATGTATATGTATATGTATATGTATATGTATATGTATATGTATATGTATATGTATATGTATATGTATATGTATATGTATATGTATATGTATATGTATATGTATATGTATATGTATATTATGTATATGTATATGTATATGTATATGTATATGTATATGTATATGTATATGTATATGTATATGTATATGTATATGTATATGTATATGTATATGTATATGTATATGTATATGTATATGTATATGTATATGTATATGTATATGTATATGTATATGTATATGTATATGTATATGTATATGTATATGTATATGTATATGTATATGTATATGTATATGTATATGTATATGTATATGTATATGTATATGTATA